GTGAATGTCGTAAATGCAAGTAAAAGATTAGAGAAACATTGAAAACATGCATTGCATGCATTAGCTCCCACAAAGCATTTGGCCATGCACTCACCATCCTTTCCCCATCGGCCCGCGTGAATGTCGTATTCCTCATGTTTGTGGTGTGCAGTGCAAATGACAACAGTTGATACAAGATTGTGCAAAAGAGGATGGACAATGCATCTCGCAACTTCGTCTTTATCAGAGAGGGAGACGACGGCCTTGACGCGTATCATCCGCGAATACGGGAATAGGTATCCCATAGCCACCACACACGACGTATATATGAATGAGAGGTTGCAACTCACTCGCAACGATTTTCTCTTACTCGATGTAGAACGTCAGTGGTTAAACGACAATGTCATCAACTTTTACCTCAATCCCATAGCATTGGACAGCTGGTGTAGAATGCGACGTGGAGAATGAGATAGTTATCAGAGAAGGAAAGGGTCGCATTCCTAGAGTATCGGTGCTGAGCTTTTTTTTGTTCGTCAAACATTTCGACAATGAAATGAGATATAGAGGTCGAGAGGTAGAACGCTGGTGTCAGGACGTTATTATAAGTGACATGGACTTGATTATTGCTCTTTTCCATGTTGAACACAAGAACCACTGGACCCTTGTCGTGGTTGACTTCAGGAGGAGGAAATTCGAATTTTACGACTCCCTCGACCCCGACATGGAGTTGGCGAGAAAGGTGACCGGCGAGTTTGCCAAGTTTATATTCGAAAGATTGAAATCGCAAGGCAAAGAGGTGGACACGAAACCATTCAATCACATATGGAATGTAGAGGGCATTCCGAAGCAACACGACACGAACGAGTGCAGAGTCTTTGTGCTCACGTACGCATCACTATTGGCACGGGACCAACTTCCATCTTTCTTTTTCACTGCTGATCATATACCCGCGATATGTCGTCGAATGACTTTGGACACAGTGGCTCATGAGTAGTCAACAGAAAAATTCCCACGAGAAATGAAAGTTGAAAAAACATTCCATAAAAAAAAAATCCTTCATATTTATAAATTATCATTCCAATGTTCGTCCAATTCTAAAATTTTCAATTTAATTTGACAAGTTCCCGTCTAAATATGAGTTTTCCCTTCCAACTAAATCAATTTGTTCAAAATGGAATGAAAGTCTTGACGAGTTTATGAAATGTTTTAATTAGATTTTCATTCTACTACTACAAATATCTTTTAATTTAAATTGGATTAACCAATTTATGAATGGAAATCCTTACTTAGAATGACAGTCCAATTAAAATATTTCATGAACTCATCCAGAATTTCATTCCATCTCTAACATGCAGTTCAAATAAGAAGGGATACCCCATTCGTGGAAGGAAAGTTTTCAAGTAAGACGGAAAATTTTAAAATTGGAATTACATTTTTTCAAATGGAATGAAAATTTAAAATTTAGAATGTAATTTTAATCTAAAATGATTATTTAATTCTGGAAAAATTTTATGCTGGTGTGTATATGATAATCCATAATATGATTTGGAGGGGTGACAAAAACAATGTATATAAGGTGTCAAATATTACTCGATACGTTGTGCCACTTGACCCTTGCAATTTACCACATATCCCTTACACCTCACCCCTTACACCTTACCCCGTTCACCTCACACCTTGCCCCTTACACCTTACCCCTTACACCTTACCCCTTACCCCTCACCCCTTACACCTTACATCTTACACCTTACACCTTACCCCGTACCCCATACACCAAACATCTCTTTGTAACGGTTTTTGCACCTGAATCAGCTCAAAAATGACAATTTCAATTTCGTTCAAAAAATATAAAATGTCCATTTTGACGAAATCGCTGTTAATTGAGGAAATGGCTGCGGAGACAGGCGGGATATATATATATATATAACTGCCCGGTAAACCGTAGGCAGAGAGAGAGAAGAGGACAACAAACGAGGGGCTGTGGCAAACTGTTTCGTCGGAGTTTTATATTCATATTTTAAATACCCCCACAGTGATAGTGGTGCTGGTAAGAGCAGTCACCGCTACCACCTGGGGAGAGACTCCATCTATTGGTGGGGAGCATCACCTGCTGGAAACCAGGTCCAGCGTCCCTTATACAGATTTAATCAGAACATTTGAGCATCTTAGGCAAAAGTAAGCAAAAGTAAATAAACCCTACCAGCATTGATTACCCTGAAAGGCAGGGGATTGACTGTGCAGGCCCTCGGCAGGTTTGAAATCAAGAGAATTTGGCTGATCCTGAACCTGCCAGCATTGATTGCTCTGGACGCCAGAGGATTGACTGAGCAGGTTGTTGGGGAAGGGGATAAAACCTCTTCGCCTTAGCATCAGGCGCCAGATAACAACTACTGAAAAACAGGCCCCTCCCTTTTTCCATTGTTTTGCAATCTTCTGACCACAATCATCACCTTTGCATATCATGGAACCAAAAACCAGTTGTGTCGTCAGTGGACCAGGCCGATGTACAAGGGAGACAGGCGGGAGATTAAGGCGGGAGATTAAAAACAAATTTGACGAAATGCTGACGGGAGGGCAAAGGAATTTGGAAAGTGGCCTGATTGGAGGGAGCAGACGAGGGGAGAATCGGACTAGGGGAAAGTCGGGGGGGATCGGATAGTATATAAGGAAGAGAAGGGGAAGGGGGAAAAAAAAAAAGGAAGGAGGGGCGCACAAGAGTAGCGTACGCACGTAGAAGCGGACAAAGCAATCGGGGAACGGGTTACTAGGTCTCGACAGGGCATCCATGCTCGAAAAGAGCGACGAGATGGAGGAGGCGGGGAAACGCGCACAAACTTCGAGCTGCCCCGAAGGAGTCCGAGGGAGCAAGTGTTCGAGAAGGAGGCGATCGGCGCCCCGTCCGTGGCAGCCTGCGAGAGAGAGAGGCAGGACGGAATGCGCTCGTACTACTGTCTGGCCCGAAGGAGTCCAAGGGAGCAAGTGTTTGAGAAGGAGGCGATCAGCGCCCCGCTGGTGGCAGCCTGCGAGAGAGAGAGGAAGGACGGAATGCGCTCGTACTACTGTATGTCCCGAAGGAGTCCGAGGGAGTGACTGTTCGGGAAGGGGGTGATCGGCGTACGACCGATTGCAGCTTGCGCACGAGAATGTGAGATTGGATGAGGGGAGTGCGCGGAGAAGGCTCAGAAGGGAATGCGCTGGCGCGGAGAAGGTCACGAGCTGCCTATCAGTAGTGAGGGAGGGGACGCCAGAGTTGTGCAGCGATAGAGAGGGTGATTGCGCGAACAGGGATAAACGCAGGACGAGGAACTACCTTTTTGGGAGCGTCTAAGCGAGCAGCGTTCGTTCGACTGTCTGAACCTAAGGGGCCGAAGAGAGGAAGAGACGGGGGCAGCGGGCAGGCGCGGACGAGAGTAGAGTGTGAGAGGGGTGTGAGGAACGAGGGCACCCAACTACTGCATGGCGGAAACCTTGGGGGCCTACTCTTGTGAACGGATCGGTAAAGCTCCCTCTGAGTCTCCGACCGGTCGTAACCGATGGATCAACGGAGGATTTAGAGGATCGGCCTCAACCGGGAGAAGGTAAGGACTATCGGCGAAAGTTCCGAAGCCCGAGAG